ACTACAATGAGGGGCCCTAGGCTAATTTACCCTTTTTTTAAAACCAAAATATTTCCCCACGTATGCAATTCGGCCGAGAAGCGTTCAAGCTTCTCAAACTCCTTCAGTCGTCGCTCGCCGACCCTCACACGCCGGTCGCTAGGCCGGTGATCATCGTACTCGAATCGACGACCCTTACCATGACCGGAGGAGGATAGACTAAACTACTTGAACGGACGAAAAAACCTTCACGTTCCCTTCCTATCTCACTCTTTCTCTTCCCCATACGATGGCTGAGAAGACTTAAAACGAGCCTCAACGCCAACCATCACACTTTGGTGACCCCCTTAGTCCGACCGACTCCTGAATCGACCGAGGAAAACCACTAAAAAATCTATGTGACTGCAAGCTTTTCTCCCTCTCTTTGCTTTCTACCAAAGCCCCCCACAAGATCACCACCGACCACCAACAACCTGCATTACTTGGCCGTGAGATGAACTCTCTCGCATCTCGGCCATCGCTCAACGATGGCCACCCCCTAATCAAACCATGAGCCCCCGAAGCAGAAGCAAAGAAAATAAGAAAGGATAAAAGAAGAAGAAAAATGCAACTTTTTTATTTTAGCTTTTTCGGGGCATAAATGGGGTCTTGGTACAAAGCTGGTTGGGGTTATTTTAACCCCAACTAATACAATATTTTTTTTCTTTTTTGCTTTTTTGCTTTTTTTATAAAATAAAAAAAACAAAAAAATAGTGGTTACAATAAGCTAATAGAATTAGTGATTAAGCTAAGAAATGCAAATTAGTGAAATTTGTCTAAATTGGTAATCTTAACAGTAGGTTTATAAAATCACCATAAATTCTACAAGAATGATTAGAATATGATTTTTATACCATTGGATTCATAAGTCAGTATATGTTTGTTCAAAACAAACGACTACTGATTTAGATGTGTGTACAAAAATATATGAATTTTTAACCGATAACAGGTAAAAAAAATTTGGACTGCAGATTCTGCTCAAAACAGATTATGTAAACTGAATTGGAAATTTTTCCATAAATTGTACAAGTGGAACTAGAAAAAGTGTCTTATATGGTTAGACTTGTATTCGAGTCTAGTTTATGATGGTACAAATGGAATAATTTTTAAGACATAATAATATTTCTTTTAGGGTAGTGTAAAATGCCAGAATATGAAATTAAGGTAAACTATACATTTTATGATACTCTTATGTTCTATGCTATCTTAATTGTTTGAAATGAGCCAAACCTATTATCTTAGAATGATAATTATGTCATTTATCATATGATGAAATTAGGAGAATTTCATAAAAAATGTTATTAGAGGATGAATTCATGCTTGAATCAAAATGTAATCCATGCTAGGAAAACTTAAAAGTATTTGGCCAAAGGGAAAAAAGTAACGAAAAATTGTGGGTCATTAATGTATAAATGTTTAAATTGGAGTATTCAATGTTGAATTTTATTGATGAAATGCTGGAATTTTAAGTTAAATAGGTGATTTAGGATCAAAGTTCAAATTTGGATAAACTTAGTGATGGAATTCAAATAGTCTCAAAAGTTGGGACTTGAGTTTCCAAATGTGATGGTATTATTTTGGTATGGAATTTTTAATGCTGGAAATTTATATTAGTATCCTGATTTTTAAGTTCAAATATTGGAATGGGATCGAATTTCAAGTTTATTGAAGTATGTGGTTGAATTCGAAAAGTCTAAGGGAATTGAAGATGAAATCGTAAGTTTTTGCATGTTAAAATATTGATTTGAGTATTTTATTAAAGTGCTGGAAATTTTAGTAATTAATGTGAAATGATCATAATAATGAAGGATCATTATAACTAAATGGAAAAAAGTTGATATGAATTCTAAGAAAAATTCATAATTAGTAACTTGAATGCAAAGTTAGTAAAAGTTGAAGGGTTGATGATGAAAATAAATATTTATAGAATCGAATGAATATTTTGGGAAAACTGAAATTTATGATGGAAATGTGATTTAGTTTTAAATCGATTAAGTATCGATTTTATTTCTATAGACTTTTATATTAATAAGTTTATATTATGTTAGTACAATACTAACATATAGTTTGAATATTTTATGCTAATATGTGAAGTTGTTAGACCACGATAAATCTAGTGATCCAAACGACCTTAAATAAAAGGAGGAAGCACACGAGTAAAGAAATATCATATAAAGGTTCGGTAGTGAGACAAAGGTGAGTACATATTTACTTATTTATTTTATTAATTGAAAATGACTTATAATTTTATTTAGGGCATGAAATGCCCAAAGCATATTATATAATATTTTGATAAATGCAACGAATGATTTCGGGTATAACTTGCCCAAAAATACTGATATATGTTAAATGGATTAAGAAGAGATTATGAAATTGTAGTAAGGCCCTTTATATATGTGTTGAGTATTTGGTACAATTGGCATTATAGGTGCCATGAGTAGTGAGATTATTGATAGATAATATGAGTACATTAATGTACAATACAAGTAACAAGGTACATTATGGCACTATGGGATATCTTGGATTTATGGAACAGGTTGTTTTGTTTTACAGTACTCTACACAAATGATAAAAAATATAAAAGGTACCAAACTGATTATATAGCACTATGGGGTGCATATGATAAAAGGCATAAAAGGTGCCAAGCTGATTATAGCACTATGGGTGCATATGATAAAAATGCACTAAATGTGCAAATTATTAAGGCTGGTCTGCCATTATATTCGTAAAAAGATTTATGTATCTTGCTAAATTGAGTTATGAAAGTAGATGTGAAAGTTATGACTAGTATATAAAAGAAAATGATATGAAAATAAAATGAAACTTCTGAAACATGTATGAATGAAAATGAATATGAAATATTTGTTAAATTTGATGTTGATTTACATGAATTTTGATAAAATCATGAGATAATGATTTTTAGATTTTCAGATTTTCAAAGAGGAAATTGGCTTGAATGGTCTAGTTTGAAATTTTCAATATTTTTATTTATATTTTATCTCATCTTAACTACGTTATTACATCTCTAAGTATTACTTAGCGCGTGATAATTTTCATGCATAGATTTGGATAAAAAATCAAACGTGAAGTGAGGAGTTTTTTGAGCATCTTTTGGAGATCATCTCTATTATCAATATCAATCAAATATCTTTGATGTTTCTTTTGGACTTTTATTGGCGTGTATATTATATCTGTTAGTTTAATTTATTGGTTTTATTTTACTATGGTCTATAATAATAAACTAGAACTATTTCATTTTGGTTGGCTCTAGATTATCCAAATCATATGCATAAACATTATTTTGTGATTTTATTTAATTAATGAAATAATTTTAAAGTGGACAAAGGAATGTTTTAGAATGAACAAAATTTTAGACATTTATGTTCAACAAACGTTTATAAGATTTATGTAACATCTTTAACTTGTATTTTGAAAAGTATATGAATTATGAGTTTTACATTTAATGAGGAAATTAACATTGTTTACTGTCCGTGCACGTAAATAGATAACGTTTGTAACGTTAATCATCTAGATGAGTCAAAAAATAATTTAATCACCTATTTGAAAAAAAGGATATATTTTAGACACTTATTTTAGTATTAAGCCTTAAAACTTTAAACCATGTCATCCAATCTAGCCTCAACATAGTAACAAGCATCCAAAGAGCCAAAAAAAAACATGACGAACCGAAACCTGGAACCGCACTGGATAAAATGGGAAAAACCAGCCGTAAAACCAATGGATCTTGAACACCGATGCAGCCTGCGATCTGAGAACGAGAAGAACTGCAACAGGAGATCTCATTAGGGACGAGAACAGAGATTACTCTAGCAAAATCTTTGGGAGCGAAAATTTTGATCATTGAAACGGATGCTATGACAGCCACTGACGCTCTAAATGGAGAGGTTTCAGAAGATTTGGAACAGAATGAAACGATTAGAGAAGGTATTACGTTAAGGAACAAAGATTGAGTTATCGGGCTCCGCCACAGATGGAGAGATGGAAACCGATGAGTAGATAAACTAACGAAATTGGCTTTCGAAATGGACAATGGATTTCACGAAATGAGAGAACCACCGCCAGCTCTCGTGCCTCTTTTGGAAGCAGATAAGAATGGATCAGAAACCCTAAGACTGTAAGTGTCACTTCGACGCTGCTTTTGCCCTATGTATTAAAAAAAACTTTAAAAATATTATATAACCTTTTTAATTTAGAACTTTAAATTACATGTCCCAGGAAGACACACCTATAACACAAATAAAACCATAAATGATAATCGTATTTCCAAATTTATTTAACAGGTCAACAAATTCTTGATGTTTAGTCATGTTTTGCACATAACCGATTACTTTGTAGGCTAAACGCCTCTTCAACACCGTGAAAGCAAAGCTTCAACTAATTTATTTGAAATTGCCATTGTGTCCGCTACACCAGGGTCCAGGATAACTCCTCGAGCACCAAACTAGTATATACCGATTTGAATTCTTTAGTTGTGTCTATTTCTTATCCTTCCTTAATTTTAAATTAGACTGCCATTTTTTTAAACTCCTACAGATTTCCGAATTTCTCATGTTACAAACATGAGCATATAAAGGCGATAGAAGGAATTAAGGAGTATTAACTGAAAATAGGGATTGCCGTTAAGGAGTATCTAAAATACCACAATAACTTTTTCGCTAATCATTGTGCATTACTCAAAAAAACACTTCAAAAAAAAGTGCATTAGCTTCACTCATTTTCATAATACTAACATACCAAAAACACACACACACACCTGTAGCAATGCAGGGTTGAAGATACCGAGAATTACATAGAGTTTTGTGATATTAACACGTGGGTTGGTTGGTGAAGAAGTTCTAGCTCACACCACACGCTTTGTCGTTTATTGGTAGCCACACGTTTGGTTAACTCAAGACCATTAGCATAGCTTTGGGTTTTACCCTTTATCTTTTCTTTTTTGTCTGAAGTTATTGGAACGATTATTATTTCTAATCAAACTCTTAATCCTTCTTTGAAATCTTCCCGCTAAATCAAAGCCGACGGAAGATTTTCTCTTCCAATTTGGTCAATGGATTGCATTTACAATAACCCAAATGCACTCATAGAGGATCGAGTCAAAGACCGTCTTTCTCGAATGACTCTACAAGAAAAAATGGGCCAAATGACCCAAATTGAGCGAACTGTCGCCACTCCTGCTGCTCTCAAAAGCTTTTCGATCGGTACAATTTCTCTCTTAAGCATTTTTTTCATGCAGTTTGTTGACAATTTTGAAAACTAGAGAACCATGATTTGCCCTTTTCTTTTGGCAGGTAGTATACTGAGTGCTGGTGGAAGTGCGCCGTTCGAGAAAGCAATGTCAGCTGATTGGGCTGATAATAACGTTTATGGTGCCACTATATTTCCTCACAATGTTTATGGTGACAATAACGTTTATGGTGCCACTATATTTCCTCACAATGTTGGCCTTGGAGCTACCAGGTTTGTTTCCTTCTTTGGTCCTCAAGTCTTCTATGATAATTTCAAAGAGTTTCTTTTATCAATGTCAATGCTAATGGAGGAAAGAAACGAAGATGTTGGTATACTTTTTTTTCTCCTAAAACGTTTTCATTAGAGAGAAAAAGAAGCATAAAAAAAAGTTTGGATTGATTTTTTTTTTGTTGAAATTTAGAAGGCCTTATTTTGTTTAGTGTTTTAAGGGTGTGTCACTGATAGATTTTATCACACCATGGGTGAAAGAAAACATTTATATAAAAAATATATCTTAAAAATTTATTAAATATAGTTTTCATCTTTATTTCTATGTTTTCTTTTAGTTATTTTATTTAAAGATTATATAAAATATGGAAAGACCAAAATAAAGATATTTTGGTCATTTTCTAACTGAACTGACACCTTGTTAATAGGTGACATCAATTCAATCACGACTGTTATAAATTAGGCTCAATTTGAACAATTGTTGTTTTCTGATGTATGAACCATGGTTTTCAGAACCGGATCGGTTAGCGAACCGGTCATGCTACCGGTTTATTGATTCAATCGGTCGAACCGGTCCGATCGGTCGGAAGAACCGGACGACGTCATAGTTATTTAAAAAATTAAATAAAAATATCAAAAATATTTAATAAAAAATAATTTTTTATATCATAACATATAGAAGTTAAAAACCATTAAATCAAGTGAAACAAAATGATTCAAATTAACTACAACATAATATTTATGCTAAAACATATTAAATATTAAATATAATTATATAACTATAATTAAAAAATAAATTTGGGGTTAAAAAATCATAACATAATTATATAACTATAATTATATAACTATTCTTTCACTTCAATCAAGCTCGAATTTTAGGCTTCAATCGAGCTTCTAATTTTTTTTTTAGTTCAAGCCTTTTTGAGTTCAAGTTTCAATATTATATTTCGAGTTTGAGTTGAACTTGATAATTTTTAGTTTGTGAGTTTGAGTTGAGTTGAGCTTACTTTTAAAGTTTTCAAGTTCGAGTCGAGCTCAGCAATACTAAACAACGGTTTGATTTAATTTTTTTTTTTAAAACAAAAATCCCGGTTTTTTCCGGTTTTCTGCCGGTCCGGTTCGAACGGTTCAGCGGTTCTGGCCGGTTCACTAATAGCGATTCAACCGGTTTAGATTGAACCGGACTAAACAACGGTTCCCGGTTGAACCGGTTGAACCGGCCGGTCTAGTCCGGTTTTCAAAACAGAGGTTTGAACCAAAAACCCAGCAGAAATTAATATATTTAACTAGAACTATGTACTCTTGTATTTGGACTTCTTTGTTTCCTCATTCAACATTTTACACTAAAAGGTTAATGGGAAAAGATTAGTTGTAATGCAGTAACAATGCCTCTAATTGTTGAAAATGCATGATAGAGATGCAGATTTGGCTCAAAGAATAGGGGTTGCCACTGCTCTTGAAGTTAGGGCAAGCGGCGTTCACTATGCCTTTGCTCACTGTGTGGCTGTAAGTACTGTAAAAGCAATTAGTCAAATGTGCTCTGATATCATGTTAATTTGTATTATAAAGATTTTGAGATATTGGTGAATTCTTATCGTTTTGTTTTATTTCTCCATGTGATATTCATTTCATGTAATCATATATGTCTAATATTCCCAAGTCTAATGTACAGCTTGCAGTGGTCGTCACATTTCTCATGTCCCTATCACACTAACTGGCAGTATCACAATAGCATTTGAATCATAGTTTCATGTGGATATAGGATTCCTACTTATAGTATTATCTGAATATTTGAGTTTGAAACAACATTTTATCCGAGCAATTTGTATTAATGGATTATCACAGGTATGCAAGGATCCCAGATGGGGAAGATGTTACGAGAGTTATAGCGAAGACGTCGACATCGTTAGAAAAATGACTTCCATTATTACATGTTTGTAGGGAAAACCATCAGTGGAATTGTAGTCACTCATTTTCGTCCGGGGTTTATTTAGTATAATAAAATGTAGTTTTTGAAAATATGTTTTAAAAACATATAATATATAGTTTTTAGAAAACGTTTTAAAAAAAACATATAATATATAGTTTTAAAAAAAATCGGTTTTTGAAAATATATAATACGGTTTTGAAAACATATATTATATATTTTTGAAAACACATTTTTGAAAACGTATAATTTATAGTTTTAAAAACGATTTTTGAAAACGTATATGATATAGTTTTAAAAACATATTTGGAAAACATATTTATAGTTTTTTAAAACAATTGTTTTTTTGGAAACATGTATAATATAAAATTTTTGAAAACATATTATTTTCGAAAATATAATATTATATAGTTTTTATTATATATTATATTATATATATATATCATATATTATAATATTATATTTTTATATTTATTATGTATTATTTTTATTATATTATATTAATTTTTTATTTGGTCTAGATTTAGAGAGTCCAACATCGATCCAAAATGAGGCCCAACCGAAGCAGGCCTGATCCAGCCCAACAACCCGAGCCCATCTACCTGACCCAGCAGTGCCTAGGGATGATTTTCGACCACATGAACCACGAATAGCCCAAATAATCACAAAACCATAACAACCCACAGGAATCCTGTCCCTTTTGAGACTCAAAACGGCCGGACTTAAGGCTATAAAAAGCCTCCGGCGAGGCCAAGCAAAAGACAGTAACCACAGGAGAAATACGAGTAGCAGAATACTAAAAAAAATCGAACGACAACCACAACAAAAACAACAAAGCATCACCCAAAAAAATGAGCAACCAAATAAATTAAGCCAAACCATTCGAAATATAAAAACAAAAAGGTTAAAGCTTTGAGCTTTGCTTCATCGTGAGCACGTAGGAATCTCGTCGGAAAAGAAGAATCACCGAAAGCTAAAAAGGCTCGCTGGAAAAGGTAAAAATCTGAGCCTTAAAACTTAGATTTACGCCGATTGAAATCTTTTTGGGACGACCATGCTTCGATTTCGTACTCACGTGATTGGGAGGAACATTTTGGTTAAATTTGGTTTTTTCCGGCCACTAGAGACGATGGCCGGAGCGATGGGAGGTGGTGTCCCACCGGGGAAGTTGGCCGACACTTGGGCAGTTGGGGGATTGGGTTGAGAGGTTTTTGAAGATGGGAGAGTTTTTTTTTTGTGAATTTGGTTACGGGGAAGTTGGCCGACACTTGGGCAGTTGGGGGATTGGGTTGAGAGGTTTTTGAAGATGGGAGAGTTTTTTTTTTGTGAATTTGGTTACAAATAAATTGTTTTTGGGTCTTAAGGGGTATTTATAGTGGTCTTGGTGTAATTATAAAAAATTTAAATTATTTTCGAAGTCCTTGCACTTTTGATGCGTAATTCATTTTGGTCACCTGTTGTAAATTGGCCATGATATTTTGAATTAATTTAATTCAGTCCTTATTTATTTTTTATAATCTTTGCAATTTAACCCCCAACCTTTATTTTTTTCTCCTTGCAGCTTTCAATTAATTCAATTTGACATTTTTTTTCTTTTTTTAATTTAATTCAATTAATTTAAAATTTCTTTTATTTCTTTCTTTCTTTTATTTATTTAATATTTATTTTATGTTATTTTAATTATTTATTTACTTTATTTTAACCCTAATGCTTGTTTTTTATTCCGTTATTTAACATTTTTTTATTCTTTTAGAAATATTTTTAATCGATTAAAGGTAAGTAATTTGAATAGAAATTTTAAATTTTAATTTAGCTTGTAATTTTCGCGATTAGGACAACCAAAAAATTAAACTGGTACCGAAAGGGCAGTACAAGGGTGCTAATCCTTCATTGACTGTAATCAACTCTCGAATCTGATTTATTTATGGTAAAATGCAGATCAGGTAAGATAGAAAACTGAGGTGTTCGGTCAACCTACTTTTAAAAAAGAACTGATCGGTGGCGGCTCCATCATAACGAAATTAAGTCGAAGCCCAATTCTATGCCCACCCGAAGGACGACTACGACAGCTTGGCGACACTGCTGGGGACAGGTAAGTAAGCGAGGCCAAAATTAATTTTTGGTTGTCTTCTTAAGCGAAAATTGTAAGTTTAAATTTTAATTTATCTTTTCGATCCTTATTATTTTCCTTTGATTATTTTTCAAAATAAATAGTTGTACTGATTTTTTTTAAATGATTTCAGCTTTTCAAAAATTCATCTCAAGCTCTATACCTGAGCTCTAAACCCTTTCATAGTGGAGGTGAAAGTGACACCTTTGTGGGAATTTATTCTCCGTATAGGCCTAGTAAGTAACCTTCGGGATTCATATATATTATGTCCTCGTGTGAATTTATTCTTCAAACAAACATGAGGGAATGTATCATCTCGAGTTTAACTTGGTCCATATGAGCTTATAATGGGCTTAGGCCTGAGAGTTAGGCAAGCCCAAGGGGGCACCAGCAAGGAGAACCCGAGTACCTTTTTTTTAGAACCTAAACCGAGATATTGCAAGGAATTAGAGCCCATCCCAAAACTTCATTTCAAAACCTAGGTTGCTTGAGTTATTTTCTGCTTTATTTTCTGTTCAAAGCATGCGAACTAGAAATATATGCGGTTATGATTTATTCAAAAAATTAACATACGAGATAGAGATTATGTATGTTGAAAATATTTTGATATTTCGATATAACAAATTAAGTGTTATTGAATTTTAAGATTTTATAATCATTTTTAAAGTATATTCGATTAAATTATTTGAATATCAAAATATTACTCCAAGTTTTTCAAATGTCAATTTCAATCATTACTTAAGTGTAAAATTGTGTTTTAATCTTAAAATATTTTTGAAACAGATTTTACAAAGTATTTCGAGCCTTAATCGAGCCAAAAATAATTTTTAAATAGAAGGGCTTCGAAAAATAACAGATTGCCCAGTGGGTACCGATACCCCTCCTAGGGTACCGATACCCCTATGCAAGTTTTGGCTTCGAGAAAAACAAAATGCCCTATGAGTACCGATACCCCTAGTCATATAACGGTCGAAATATTTGAATTTTACACTGCAGGTACTGATACCCATACAAGAGGTACTGATACCCTACGCTCCCAGCAGACTTTTTTTCAAGAGTATTTTCACACTACAACGGCTCTAACATAACCCAAATGATTCACAATGGCTAGAATCAATCCAAGGTGTATTTAAACAAGTTTTGAAGCCATTGATCAACAAGAATTCATTGAGAAACAAGAGAGAAAGCATTAAACATCAAGTTTGTGCATTTCAAGCCAATTTTCCTTCAATATTCATTTTACTTTCAAGAACACATTTTGTGCTCATTTGTAATCATCTTTGAGTGTTCTTTTCTTGTTCTAGAATTTGCAAACACATTGCCTTGTGAGGTTTTTCTGTAAGTTTGTGAAATTTGTATTGTTCTCTTTGAGAGAGTGTGTTCTCAAGAATTTGAGGTATAATTCTTGAGGGATTTGTAAGGTTACTCGTTGTCCTCAAAAGAAATACAAATTAGTGAATTTGTGGAAAATGCTTAGTGTGGATAACTAAGGTAGTGGACGTAGAATTTGGTTGAGAAAGTCGAACAACTCTAAATCGCTGTGCAATTATTTTCTATTTTATACAAAATCTTCCACCAAATATTTTTTGCCAATTCACCCCCTCTTGGCTATTTCGTCGATCGATTAACTCAATAATTTGTATCAGAGCCTCACTCATTTGAAGGTTTAATCGTCTCTTGAGTCGATTCGAGAAGAGTTATATCGATATTCAAGTCATCAAGCCTCCACTTCAAACTCCGACTCCGGTCTTGATTCTATGCCCGTCAACAAGCCTCCTTTCTTCAATGGAGCTAATTATTCTTATTGGAAGAATAGAATGAGGTATTTCATTCAAGCAAGTGACATGGGAGAATGAAATATCATAGAAGACGGATATTGTATTTCTTCCACTCATTCAAGATTATAGAGTGAAGCAGAGACAAGAATGTTCCAACTCAACTCAAAGGCTATCCCAAGGCTATCCATATTATATTTTGTGCTCTTGGACTAGATGAATATGGGAGAGTTTCATCTTGTACAACTGCAAAGGAGATATGAGATAAACTACAAGTCACTCATGAAGGCACAGACGAGGTAAAAGAATCTAAAATTAGTCTTCTAACTCATAGCTAAGAAAATTTCAGGATGAAATCAGATGAAGATATCAAAGCTATGACGGATAGGTTTTTCCACAATTGGCAATTGTCTTAAATCATATGGAGATATTATTCCAAACGAAAAGCTTGTGAGGAAGTTAGTTTACTCTCTTCCAAAATCCTGGCAATCAAAGAAGACGACAATCAAAAATTCCTAGGAAATATGCTGATTGGTTTTCAATGAAACAAAATTGTGTTGCATTATTTACCACTGAAGGGGAATACATTTTAGCTGGTAGTTATTGTGCACAAGTTTTATGGATGAAACAACAACTTTTAGATTATGGAATTGAAGTATGTACCATACCTATCAAGTGTGAAAATACTAGTATTATTTGTCTTACTAAAAATCTCATCCAACACTCTAGAACTAAGCACATTGAAATTAGACATCATTTCATTAGAGATCATATCGCTAAAGAAGATGTAGTTCTAGAATTTGTTGTTACTTTGCATTAATTAGCGGATATTTTTACAAAACCTTTAGATAAAGAAAGATTTTGGACACTTAGGAGAGAATTAGGTTTAACTGACCTATCCACATTTAGTGTTTAAAATAATTTTAGCACTTTTAATTATAAATGAAAAATGCTTATAAAAATAACATTTTTTATTGTATTCTTTGCTAATAGTTAGGGAGAGTTTATGATATTTAGAGAAAATTAATTGTATGTTCAAATAATATTTAAGGATAGATTTGATTGATTGAACATAGTTAATTTTCGTAATATCAATACCATTGAGCTAATTAATTTAGCATTTTGAGTGTTTAAATACAGATTTTT